TGTCAGAGCCCCGGCGTTACCTTGCCACGTTTGACTCTGGCATAGAAATCCGATTCTTCCCCCGTAAAGTCAGAAAGAAGGAGTTGAGCTGTACACATGTTTTCAAATTTAGTTCAGAATCAAGTTGTAATCACCGAGCTCCACTGGTCGTTCAGTGACGGCACAAGCTAATACTGCAAGTGACTCTTCAGTGGGTTTCGGGAAATAGACTCCTTTCAGCGAAAAAGGAACTTACTATTTTTGCCTCTCTGCTGTCAGAGATGACAGGGTGTGCAGCGTTTAAAGATGAATGCCCTGGAGTCAGGAAGACCTAGATTCCTATCTGGATCCTGCCGACGTCCAGGGTCTGTAACATGGGCATGTTGTCTTCGATGTTTTCATTTCGCGTCAGTAGAATGAGGATGATGTTACTGCCCACCACCAAGTCCATAGAGGATCAGCCAAGATGAAGTGGGTGAAACGGTGAGCAGGGCGCCTGCATCACTGTGTGACGATGCACGTGACGTGAGTTGCTGTCATGGTCGTTACTGGTCACAGTCGGTGCAGAGGGCGCGATGCAGGGACTCTGGCACCAGACCGTCTGCGGTCTCCCTTCCCCCATTTATGGTGTGAACTGGACAGGTCTCTGCGCCTCACTTTCCTCATCCGTAAAGTGAATTCTCTGAGCATCTACTTCATAGGGTTGTGAGGATTAAATGAGTCAATGTAAGTAAATCCCTTACATCAGCACTTTCCAGGAGGTAGTGGTGGTTTAGTCGCTCAGTCATGTCCGACTTGCGATCCCATGGGCAGAGGAGCCTGGCAGGCTACAGTCCATGGGATTCTCCAGGCAAGAACACTGGAGTGGGTTGCCATTTCCTTCTCCAGGAGATCTTCCCAACCCAGGAATCGAACCCGGGTCTCCTGCATTGTAGGCGGATTCTTTACCAACTGGGCTACAAGGGAAGCCCAGTAGGATGTTCCCTAATTACCAGAATACCCTAAATATACACTGTTCAGTACGAGAGCCACTGGACACATGTAGGTGTTGAAGACTTGAACTGCGGCTAGGACAAATGAGGAACTGAGTTTTTACTTAATTTAATTTAAATTTTTTAAATAGCCCCATGGGGCTGGCAGATACTATCCTGGACGGTCTTGGAACCATGGCTGACTGTTGTAAAACCATTTGTATTATTTAGTTTATGCCAACTGAGCTGGGCTAGAGAGAAACAACCATGGTGGTGTTGGTGAGTGTGATTCACAAACAAGCAACTGCTTACTACCAGCAGTGATAATGCTCCCCGTAGTAGGAGGAGGAAAAGGTTCATTTTCCAGTAATAAGTCATGGAATACATGACTGGCAGCACTTGAAAGAAGGACTGTGAGGTGAACTAATAAATCATGTGAATTATATTGACCACTAAGTTCATTCTTTGTCAAACTTTTTCCTTCATTTCAGTTTTGATTTTGAATATAGCGATATATATATTGTAAAGCATATACTCCATGGAAGAGATCTTGTGATCTTCTAAAATGTAGTTCTTTCCAAAAAGCCTGTGTGTGTGTGTGTGTGTGTGTGTGTGTTAGTTACTTTCTTGTTTACCAAGGAATCAGAATATTGATCTTTATCATGAAAAAAAACAAACATGAACTCAGAATGTCAATATTGGTGAATGGTGGTTAAGTTGAAAAAGTACCATCTCTTATGTCAACATAAAAAATCAGAAATACTTTAAATGGAATATTGGGAAAAATCGGAGTGCAGAAGTATTTGATGTCACTGAGGATGATGTATGTTTCATCCTGTCCCTTGGTCCAAGTGATGGCTGGCCGTCCCTATAGTGAATATACACTGCATGGTCCATCGTATAAACCAACACATACTGTGAAAATCCTATGTATGTTCTCCATTTTCCTCAAAAGGAGGAGGAGATATTGCCTAAGCAGAAGATGGTGATGTTGAATGTTGGGTTTTTACGTTCGGTTTGGTTTGAGTTTCTAAATTTCATTGTCTTCTCAGCAGTCAGGCCAAGGATGTTTAAATTCCAGGGGCAGGAGACAATGTCAGAAAAGGGATGTTGAATCTTTGTTAATTGCAGAAGGAACACTCTGCCATCTGAGAAGGGCCCCTCCTTTCATCTCAGCCTGCTCCCTGCTCCCGTATCAGGGAAGGCTGAGAAGTACTTATTTATGTACCCCTCCAGCAGCTAATAACAGAGACCACATCTGGGAAAACTGATTAGGCATGATACATGAAATTATCTGAGAAGACTTCATATTCTAATCATACTCAGACTACAGCCCATCTCTGAAGGCCCAAACACTGGGCCAGTCTTTCAAATACTAAATCCCCCTGTCTCTGCCATCAGTCACCTGTGACCCACTTTCCACAGCCGAAGGATCTTCCCGTAGATCTAACTTCCCCGTATGTAAAGGGTCCTTAACCTGGAGACCACCAGGCCGCTGAGGGCCGTGGATAGACGTCTTGGCCTGTAATGACCCCCTAAAACCACATGCAGGGTGTGTATGCATCCTGCATTTGTCACTGTGTTTGTCTGCAGAAGGAAAGGTCAGTAGCTGCTATCAGCTTTTTTCTAAGGGGTTGTCCCTATAATTACAATAGCATGCCATGAAGAAAGCAGATGGCTCCAAAATATTTTTCCTCCAAAATCAAAGTGATCATAGCAAATGCTTTCGCCAGTAGTGTCTCTGAAGCAGTTCTACTTTCTTCAATTTAGACAGCTTTTGTAAATGTTATCTTTATCCTCTATTTTTAGAAACCAAAAAGTGTTCTGAGATTTTTTTTTTCTTAGGAGAAATATGTTGGATGAACTTGAGAATTAAACCAAAGATTCTATGTAAAGTATTCCAATAATGCACTTTTATACATCCATCCCTTGTGTATCCATGGGGATTGGCTCCAGGACTCCTGCAGGGACCAAAATCCATATCCACAGGTTCAGTATCCTGAGATTCAACCAGCTTTGCATCCTGCTGTGCATGCCAGGTGAGGACACGCTGCTTGGCACACAATCCGTGCTTCGTACGTGACACCAGCTGCTGTCGTCACCACCATCATCCACGCCAGCTCCACCCCTGACTCCTCTTTCCAGCTCTCCACCCATCCCACCTTAAGGGGTGGAGATTTGAAAGTAATAACCATGCAGAATTGGCTGCACTTTTCATTTTTCTTTTAGATTTTTTTTAGTTATCAATGTGTCTTAAAGAGTAAAGTCATAAGGTTTTACCCTTCACTCTAGAGTCTCCCAGGTTCAATCCCTGGGTTGGGAACATCCCTTTGAGAAAGGAATGGCAATGCACTCCAGGATCCTTGCCTGAGAATTCCATGGAGAGAGGAGCCTGGCGGGCTGTAGTCCATGGGGTCACAGAAGAGTCGTACATGACTGAATGACTAATACTTTCACTATTACTACTCACTAGAGTCGATAAGGGAGAATCTTCTTCTTGGGGCAAAGTCCCTCCTTTTTCCCCTCTGTTCTAGCCAGGCTCATTTCCATGTGACTTTTCCTATGTTGTGCGCTGCTTAAAGAAATAATGTAGTGTAGTGGCTGGGTTGCTACATGGAAAACTCAAGCAACCAATAAATTTCCTTTTTAAGCAGTCGATCTAATGTAGCACATGTTTACTGGACACCAGCTAGATATTGGAGTTGAAAGTGGGCTAAAACACAGTGAATAAAGCAAAATACCCCAAGTTTTGCTAATCCAAGTGATGGAATTGAGCCTGTAATGTCTTGAGGCATGTATCGTTAGCTGCTTTATATGTATTGTCTCATCCTGGTCCTTTCCTAGGAGGGAAGAACTATTATTATTATCTTATTCCCAAGTAATTTAGAGTTTGCAGAGATCCATCCATTTGGCATACCAAGCCCCTAAACCAACAAATGCTGTAGCTCCCTAGCCATTTTCTAGCACGTGGTATCAGTGTTGGGAAGGCAGATAGTCCCAAGTGTGCAGTATTACACACCGTGAACATAGCGTAAGAACTAAAACAACACTGACAACACCCCTAATAATAGCATTTTACACAGATTACCCCATAGGAACGTCCGTCTTGTTTCAGAAAACTGAGTCTCAGAAAGGTTGAAAACGTCACCCAAGACCTCACAGCTAGGAAGGCTTGAAGCTGTCGTTGAACTCTGGCTGCTTTGCCACATACCCAACGCTTCTTTTTTTTTAACTTTTCATTTTGTATTGACATGTAGCCAGTTAACAGTGTTGTGATACTTTCAGGTGAATAGCGCAGGGACTTTCAGCCATACATGTGCATGGATCCATTTTTCCCCAAACTCCCCTCCCATCCCGGCCACCACATAGCATTGAGCAGAGTTCCCTGTGCTGTGCAGTGGGTCCTTGTTGGTCATTCATTTTGAATATAGCTGTGCGTACGTGTCTGGAACACACCCAGTACATCTGAGGCTTGTGATACACAAACTCACCCCAAACAACCTTCATCCTCCCAGCCTCAGATGTCCGGACTGCGAAGGAAAAGTCTCTTTTTGCCTATTTTAGCATTCAGATTCCTCTTCTTCAATAGTGAGGACTCCCTCCTTGGATGTATTTCTTTCTCAAGTACCTCCAGGAGCATTTTCTTCCTCTTGAACTCAGGGATCCCTCCCATCCTGGCAGGAGACCTGAACCCTTTCCAGGAGCAGAGTCCACCTGTCCACCCTGGCTGCGGAAAGCTGTTGCTGCCCCGAATGCACTTCCACCTCCTGCTGCCGGGAACAGCTGGTGGCCGAGGTTGTTAACCTGAACTCTAATTAGGGTGGTTTTCATAATGAGGAAAAGCCTGTGATTCTAATTAGCAATTTTCCGTCTTTCTCTCAACAAGTATCCCCCAGTCAAAGCAATATCCTCATCACATTGGTTCCTTTGCCAAAAAAGGGCCACGCTGTAAAACAGAAGGAAAAGCAAAGATGGGTAAAGATATAAGGATACAGAAAGAGGCTTTGTGTGTGGCTAACACACTTCTTTCTCCTCCAACTCACTCCTCAGGTCCGTGGTGCTCAGGTCGTGGGTTCTGACATGGTGGTGATGGTTGAGTTCACCAATCCTTTAAATGAAACGCTGCGCAATGTCTGGATCCGCCTGGATGGTCCAGGAGTGACGAAACCCTTGAGGAAGATGTTCCGGTGAGCACTGGGGGGAGGTGGGGACGTGGGATAGGATTGTGGGAAGTTCTGTCTCTCTCCGTCTTTTCTCAACTCACATCTAACCCCCATTGAACATGTCTGAGAAATTGCTACCTCCTTATTTACAAGTCTGTGGGGCTTGGGGTAAAAACGGGGTTGGTTTGACCAGCACTTCCATCATTCAATTCTTAAAACCACTCTAATGAGATAGGTACTATTATTAGCTCCCTTTGGCAGTGGAGGAATCTGAAGCTTTGAGAGACTGACTGGTTTGTCCCAAGTTGTGCAGTGTGTAGAAGTAAGCCTGCATCCAGGAATAGGCTGGCTGATTCCAGATCCCCAAAGTCAAGAGTTTTGCAAACTTCCTCCTCATATATTTATTCTGCTAGTCTTTACAGAGTACCCACTATGAGCCAGGTGTCATGAGTAAGGACCCTGGCAGGAGTCCTTTCTTTGCAACCCTACTCGAAGATCTTAGCAATCCAAGCACTCTCTAGAACTGTTGCTTTCAGTAGAAAAAAAAGGTGACCCTAGGGAGTTCTGATGCCGGGAAAGACCCTGATGCTGGGAAAGATTGAAGGCACAAAGAGAAGGGGGCGGCAGAGGATGAGATGATTAGATAGCATCACCAACTCAATGGACATGAATCTGAGCAGACTCCAGGAGAGAGTGGAGGACAGAGGAGCCTGGCCTGCAGCAGTCCATGAGGTCACAAAGAGACACGACTTATCGACTGCACAACGGCAGAGAGTTCTAGACTTGGTTTCCTATTTAGGGGACCAACGAGCACCCCAGGCCCGTTGCTTGAAGGTCTGCTTTTGGCACACCTCGCACCATCAGACTGTGCCTACAGTTCTCAGCTTCTGTGACTTCTAGTGACAAAGAGTGTCACAGACAGGACAGCCCATTCCATGGTTGGGTAGTCCTACTGGCTAGAAAGCAATTCCACCTTTTAGCCCCACCAGTGGGCCTAAGTCTGTCACCTGGGCTGCACAGAGAAGGTGCATTTGTCTCCCACCTAATGGCTTGCAGATGTCTGCACACCGCTGTCTAATCTTCCCATGTCTTCCCTATTCCTCCCCGACTTCATTCCCCTCACCCCTAATGTGGTTTCAGCTCTCGCCCTCGCCCACATCCTCCAATTTGTCAGTGCTCCTCTTAAAGGGTGACACCCAGAATGGATCCCAATCTTGGAGGTTTATTACTTTCATTTCTACCGCAAATAAGTCCCCGTCAGCATTGATCAATCCAGCATATTTCCTGTGGGGTGACCTTCTAAGGCACAGAGAAAGAGGTGGAGGTATGCAGAAACTGCCTTATGACCCAGATATGTTAGGAATTTCCCCAGCACCCTTTGTGGCGGACTGTGAGTCTGTAAGGCAGGAGCAAGGCCCTCCTTCACCCTCTCTGAGACGTCTTTAAGACAATGTCCCCCCTGAAGACTGCATTTCTGTCAAATCACAGCACTCAGCTTTTGCATCTGAGCATTTAAGAGGGGCCTGATGCCAGCAGATGCGAGGAACAACAGAGAAAATAGTTTGAGTGCTTTAATAAAAAAAAAAAAAAACGCAAGCACAAAATATAACAACCTTTCTATGCTAATAGGGAAGCTGAAAAAAAAAAGGAATTAAATTAGAAATCAACTCCAACTAGCGGAAGAGGTCAGAGGAGTGTGCCCCACTTTCGTCAGAAACGACAGTCTCGCTCACCCGTTCTCACACCTTCCCACTCGACTCAGATGCAAGAATCGCTCAGGCAAAGTGAAACACGTTTCTTCTTCAAAGCAGCCCCCTGCTGGAGCCAATTTTTCCTCCTCCAACAGTAACCCCACAAGCTTCCTCTGAGGGTACCAGAACCCCCTGCCACGTTGACGCCATGGCTGTGCAAGAATCCCACCTTGGTTTCAAGCCAGTGCAAGGAAGGAGGCACCCTGTGCTTTAGAGGAAAGGGCGACTCCCCACACTGAACACAGACCCACCTCTGGGGAGACACACGGCTCAGAGGTCGAGTGTCCAGGTGCACTAGGCGTGTCTGTGTGCTCACTTGTGTCTGACTCTTTGCAACCCCATGGACTGTGGCCCACCAAGCTCCTCTTCCATGGGATTCTCCAGGCAAGAATACTGGAGTGGGCTGCCATTTCCTCCTCCAGGGGATCTTCCCAACCCAGGGCTCTAATCCCTGTCTCCTGGGTCTCCTGGGTTGGCAGGCAGATTCTTTCTTCCTTCTGAGCCGCCTGGGAAGTTCAGATGCATTGCTTATGGTTAATACCTGACACTGGGGAAGGGTGAAGGAGGGTGAATTGGGGAAAGGATGGAGGAGGCCATTTCTTACATGGTGGATGCAAGGCAAATATTCCACCCACACTCTGCCTTAGGCTCCATCAGTAATCACTTCAGCACACAGATCTATGGCACATCAGTAACAGAGCCCGGCCCTCAGTCTCTCATGGGGGTGCAGGTCCAGAAGGTGGATCTCTGCAAAACAAGGGAAGCTCTGTTCCTCAGAGACTGTCGGAAATTGGAAATGAGTTAACACAGTGAATGTTTTATGATCCAGGCTGGGCTTAGGACTTTAGGGAGACCACTGCTTTCCCTGTTTTCTCCTGATTCCTCCTCCTTGCACCTTCACAAGCAAGACAGGAGCCAGCCAGCACCCATATCCATCTTATCAAACGACTAACACAGCTGTGTACCCTGTCCTGCGAAAACCTGATCAAAGAGTGGCAGGTCTGTGTAACAACTTGGACTCTTCAAGTGCAATTCTTTGGGACCAACCAGAACCCTTCACGAGGCTGTATTCTCTTCTCAGTCAAGGGAGTGTCCACTGCACTCGGCCATGCACACCCCTGCCAGGGCCCTAGGCGGCAGGGAGTCTGGCGCTCCAAGCAGAGGCTCTGGTAGGTGGGTGCAGGTGAGCAGGGAACTGAACGGGGAATAGGTGGTGGCGTGTCCGTGGCCCACTTGGCACAGCCGACTCTCCTCTGAGATGAGTTACCTTCCTGCTCTGCCCATGCCTCCTGCTGCCATCCTTGTTGCTCAGAGGTGCTGCCCCCAGAGACCCACAGCTGTCGAGTTTCTGCTCTTGATAACTCCAGAACATCAAATAATTCATCTTCCAGGTGCATCTTTTTTTCTCTTTAAAAAATGACCAGGTTCAGAAAGTTATTTTAAGAGAAAAGTTCCCCGCTTTGCGCTGTTGTTTGAGATTTTGAGTCTCTCAAGTAGGACAGAGGGCTGGACATGTGGAGGACGAGCAGTTTGTTGTAATCATGATCCCCTAAGCCTGCCTATGTTCGGGATGATAAATGGCCGGCACATCCTGATAGCTCAGCACATTACTGAGGATCATTTATCACCACACCTATCCCTGGGAATACAGGGCTCTTCCAGTATTACTCCACTCACCCAGATGGGGAGATGATTCTTTTCTTTTTGTGTGCATGCCTTTATCTGTAGGAAAATGCATACTTCGACATGGATGTGTCCCTTTGTACATATCTTGGATGATACTCATGAGCGGGCATGGGTACATGGATGAATACCATTATGGGGGCGAGTTGATGAATTAGAGCAAATAATGAAGCCTCTCCAGCCTTCTTGCCTGGGAGATCCCATGAACAGAGGAGCCTGGCAGGCTCCAGTCCGTGGGGTCTCAAAGAGCCTCACACGACTGAGCAACTAACATTCAACAATTCATTCAATGAAGTAAAGCTCGGGGTTACAGTTTCTGTTTGAGGGAGTTACCTCCCTTCTGTGGCCCTCAGCCAGATCCCTAAACTGGGCAGCTATTTCACAAAATGTTCCTGGTGGATCACTTGGGGGAAACAAAGGAAAAGAGAATGAATGGATCAGGGTTTGCTCTTGAGAAACAGATATCTAAAAACCTATATTCATATTGAAATGACTATTTAAATTAAGGACAGAGAACTGTTTCTCTGCATCCAGGCAGGAAGAACTTTCCTCAGTTATGTTACAGAGAGTTCAGGCAGATCAAACCATGAGCAAAGCTGACGGTAAATAATAAAGACAGTAATAATACGGCAGCAGCCGCATATATCTAACATGTGGCATTTAACCATATCTTGTCATCGTTCCAAGTGCAACACAAGTACCAACTCGCTCACCCTCTCCACATCCTCTTCAGTATTTCATAGTGCCCACCTTTTACAGGTGAAGAAACCCATGGTGAGGTCAGTGTGTTTCAAAGCTTCAATCATAAAATCCATTTACCGAGTTGGAAAAATTCTCCCATATGTAGGCTATGTGTATGCACTGGTCACATAATTTAGCTTCTTAGTAACTCAGTGAGATCATATATATAGCCACGTGTCTAAAGAACAAATGCCAAATTAATGGAGACACTGAGATTCCCAAAACCAGTGCCTAGAGCAGCCCCAGAGAGAGACGCCCCCAAGCCTCAGAGGCATTTCCCAGGTCACTGGCCTCAGATAACAAACACACAGCGGCAAGGCGCGTGGGCAGGTGACCCACGCTGGGTGACGCGGGATCGTGAATAACAGGGCGGACAGGGCGATGCTCCAGGTCCCGGGCCTGAGCACAGGTCTGTCCCAAGGGGATTGGCCAGAACGGTTAAGAGCATCACGACCTCAATATAGGAAGCTGTGGATTCAGATAGAAGTCCGATCCCAGGAGGGTACTTGAGCCCACATGAGCTGAGAGAGATCAGTCATGTCCATGAGGCTACCGTGGAGGCTGGGGGCTCTCGGCATGGACCACGTCCACCAGGAGGCAGGCTGATGCATCCAAGTGGGAGGAACTGTGCCCCATGGGGCTGTGGCTGACCGAGCCTCAGATAGGAGCCCTAACGGGTGGTGACTGGGAACCTGGCCCTTCTGTCTTCCAATCACCATCAACAGAGAGAAAGAGAGCCGGTAACCCAGACCATCACAGTGGGAAACGCGATCTGCCTCTCTGGGGCGTAAAACCTTTCCTGCCTCTTCCATCCTTTCAGGGAGATCCGGCCCAAGTCCACCGTGCAGTGGGAAGAGCTGTGTCGGCCCTGGGTCTCCGGGCCCCGGAAGCTGATCGCCAGCCTGACCAGCGACTCCCTGCGGCACGTGTACGGCGAGCTGGACTTGCAGATTCAGAGACGACCTTCGATGTAGACGTACGGGGCTGAACTGGACCCGGGCGTCTGGCCCCTTGTAGTCTAGGCTGAGGAAATTCTAATGCAAAAGTAGTCAGCTCTTGCTTTAACTTAGCTGTGAAGCCCTGGACAGGACTGGATAGGGTCCCAGAGTGGTGACGGCGTGTGTTTCAAAGACACACTTTTCAGTGTGGCTATTCACTGTGCAAGTTCGTTTTTAATCACCCCACCTTCCAAAGGATTCTGAGCATTAGCTTTAATTAAGCCCTAATTAGGCTCTCGGAGCTCATAAGAGTAAAAGTCATCATTTATCATCTCAAATGGCTGCAGCTGCAACATCAGAAGACTTCCCTTGCCTGGGGATTTGCTCAGTACGTGGCCTCATGTAAAACAGGGCTTCTCATCCCCCTGCCCAGCCTCTTGGGATCACATTCTCCCCAAGCGGGAGGGAAGGACATGATTTGGGCCCTAGAATTCTATTCCCCTTTCTTGGAATCAGGTTTTAGCCTCCGTATCAGAATATTTTCCCCCAGGAATTGAGCGCAGCATCATTTTTCTTCTTGGCAAAGCCAGGGAAAGGTCTTCCATCTTGCACCTGCGGCAAAGCGACCGCCTGCCAAATTTCACAGATTTACGTTGTGAGAAGAGGTGGCCCCATATTAACAAATTGCATTTGCGGGGAACTTAATCCCCAAAGAGGAGATAATAAACCAGGTGCAATACTCAGATCTATTAAATAATGTAGTTTTATAGTGCTTTTTATAGGAGGTGTCCCACCATGGCCCGAACGGGAGGAACTGATGGCCCTAACTTTAACCCTTTGGGGGCTGTAGTATTAGAAATTAACCAGACTGACTTGGGACAGGGGATGAGGAATTAACCTCCTTTATTAGTGATTATACTTCACCTGTATCTCTGGAAGCATCTCCTTGGCACAATGACGCAGGTCCAGCTCCAGTTTTAGAGACAGAATAAACCCAATAAGTTGGAGAAGCTGGCAGGTTTAAGATGTGTGGAAGGGCAGCCGCTATTTCTCTCATCCTTCACATCACCCACGTTGAGACCTCAGCTCGGCATGCAAGTACTAAAAGCGAATACGGACTCCAGCCTGCAAACAGCCAGGGCTACTGTACATCCGATGACAGAGGACATGGTTATCATTGGGATTCGTCTCTAAGTTTCCAACAGGCAAGCGACCAAATATTTATCTGCAAGGCTGATTTTTTTTGTCCAAATTACCAGATTGTTATGCCTAGAGTGTGATTTAGGTCAGTAAATTGTGATTCTTAGCAGAAGAAAGCAAAGATGAATAGTGAGATGGGATCAGGGGGAACACCAGAGTGGAATTATGTATGGTCTATCTAACCACATTTCTAGGCCTTTGAGATGGTTCCTGAACCTGCAGCACTGGAATCCATGAGGGTTAGCCAGACCCCTCCACAGACACCTCATACCTAACTCTACTAAGTAATCTCCCAGCATTTGCCAAGGCTTCCAATACTCAGTTCTAAAATGAAATGCATTTTGCTGTACTGTTAAACTGGCTTACTATAGTATATTCTTATTAACTAGAATGTAATCAAGGCTTAAAATAAAGTTAATCTGGTTGCATCTGCATCTGTACAGAAGTGAAGGCTTTTGCTTTTCAGTACGACATCTACTAACCACAGCTGCTTGAGAAGCCAGCCTTCCTTGGTAGCAGGTGGCTCGCCCTGGAGAGTGAAACAGGCATCTCTCCTTGAGGGAAAACAACTCAAATGGGTAGTGACGTTACAGCTAGCTTTCCTCGCGGCTCTCTCTACATTTTGTTAACCTCACTCAACTAAGGAGGAAGTTTGGTTCAAAAATCAGCTTCCAGAAACTTCAAAATCTCTGCAGACACTTTCTTCATGAGTAATCTCATGAATCATTATGATGACTCAGTGGACAAGCCAGCATGAACACCTATCATGACGAACACCTTTTGTAGTCTTAGAACAGAGATGGAAACTATATGAAAAATATGTATCAGAGGTCCTGTATTCATGGCTGACATCACTGAACAACCACATCTTCGGGCCTCACAATCCTTCTCCTATTACAAACTGATATGGAGTTGGCATTCAGAATCAATCCTGTTCTACCTACATTAGGGTCAGCCCACCCCCTTTGACAACTGAGACTCCAGACAGTGCAATAATGCCATGGCTCTAAAACATCATAGTTTGGCATTGGTAACAAGCAGCGTGGGCTTCCATGCTGGCTCAGCAGTAAAGAAGCCACCTGCCAATGCAGGAGATGCAGGAGGCTCAGGTTCAATCCCTGGATCAGGTAGATCCCCTGGAGAAGGAAATGGCAACCCACTCCGGTCTTCTTGCCTGGAGAATCCCATGGACAGAGGAGCCTGGCGGGCTACATCCATGGGGTCACAAAGAGTCGGACACGACTGAGCGAGTGAACAGCAACATATCTCAGGGAGCAGCAGAGACTCTGAGTTCTAGTTTTTGCCTGTGCAGGTCCCCTGTGCTTTGAACAAATCCTTATTTGTGTTTATAGCTTTGATGACTAACAAGGGGTAACAATACTTTTATTTCCACAAAGTTCTTCTGGGGATATTTCAAGTAAGACATAACAACACATGCAAAGTGATAGATAGATAACAGATAGATACATAGATGACAAAGAGATATGACAGTTGAGCAAGAAAGGAAGAGATGAAAGAAATTGTATAAATATGTGTATTTCAAATAATTTTACTTTATCAACACTTAAAAAAAATAATCATTTCCAACCTTTGATGAAGAAACTAAAGGGACCTCGTTGCCACACATCAGGGTAAATCAAGTGGGTAGGAGTTGAAAGTGAAGTCAATCTCTGCTTTGCTGTGCATTCTTTAAATCTCATTATGTCTCTCAGAGTTTAAAGAATGCTGAATTAAAACCAACTCAAGACTCTTCGAGGGCTTCCCTTGTGGCTCAGCTGGTAAAGAATCTGCCTGCAATGCGGGAGACCTGGGTTTGATCCCTGGGTTGGGAAGATCCCCTGGAGAAGGGAAAGGCTACCCACTCCAGCATTCTGGCCTGGAGAATTCCATGGACTGTGGAGTCCATAGGGTCGCAAAGAGTTTGACACGACTGAGCGACTTTCACTTTTTTTCAAGACTCTTTGAAGAGCTGCAGTATAGTAACAAAAAATATGCAAATTTATGACAGGAATATGAAGGAAAATGGAGTTTGTGCTAGACTCATTGGCAATCTAAAGTCATAAAATTCCACATATAAGTTCATCATTTATGAATATCCTTCCAATGTTATTTTTAAAAAGTAATAGTCCACACAATCATTTATTCAGCTTTTCTACCCCTCAATATCCTCTCAATACCCAGACATCATTCCAACCATCTATCCATCCTTTATTCCAGCATTCATTTAACCATCCACTATTCATTAATTATTATATGCAAGCATGAATTCAACAAGTATGTATTGACCATTAAGCATCATAGTAGAGATTCAAAGATAAAAAGTCTATTCTCCCTGTTCACAAGCCAGATACAGAGCCAGATATATAAATAAAGTATGCATAAAGTATGTATTTATAAATCTACAATTAGATGGGAATAGGTATGTTAATAGAGGTATGTCCAGAGTACCATGGAAATAAAAAGAAAAAGATGCCTGAAAAAGCCTTCCATAATTCTCCAAGCATACTGGAGGAAAGATTTAAGGTGCATCTTGAACAAAAGACTCGGAGGTGAGTTGGAGAACATCTGACAGAGAAGAGCTCACGAAACAGCCTAGAGGAGAGGAAGGCCAGCCCTTCCAGGGAACTGCAGTTGCTGCGGCCTGATGAGATGGCGAGTATCCAGCAAGGAGAGGCGGGCTCTTCGTCTTCCCCATCAGAGTGATTCGTGGGACCATTCACTGAAAGTATCTGCGGAGACTTTGGCCACAGAAGCGCAGGCATGAATCAGAGCTAGAGCACGTCCAGGAATAAGAATTTGTCTCTTCTAGGCTGTGTGGTAGGGAAAGGCTAAAAGTGGCTGCTGATTAAAAAACTGGATGCAGAACTAAAAACAACAGGCAGGTCCAGGAGGGACAGGAGAGTATGGGTTGGCATGCTTAACTCAGGTCATGATTGAGTCTCAGGATAGATGATTGGGGTGTGCCTATGGTTGGTTCAGGGATGGGAAATGAAATGTTTTAGGGCCCTGGAGACTCTTGAGAGTCCCTTGGCCTGCAGTCCAACCAATTAATCCTAAAGGAAATCAGTCCTGAATATTCATTGGAAGGACTGATGCTGAAGCTGAAGCTCCAGTGCTTTGACCACCTGATGTGAAGAACTGACTCACGGGAAAAGATCCTGATGCTGGGAGAGATTGAAGGCAGGAGGAGAACAGGGCAGCAGATGATGAGATGGTTAGATGGTATCACTGACTCGGACATGAGTTTGAGCAAGCTCCAGGAGATAGTGAAGGACAGGGAAGCCTGGAGAGCTGCAGCCTATGGGGTCACAAAGAGTTGGACACGACTCAGTGATTGAACAAGTTTCCAGGAGATAAAGTGGGAGAGGAAGCAGGTCAGGGGAGCCATCTATCACGCAAACAGATACCAGTGGGTGACAGACAAGTTCCTAGAAAGTCAACTTTGAGAATCTGAGTAACTACCATGGGCAGGGACTGCTAAAGACCCAAGAGCCTATTCCTAGGGCTGTGCTCATCTCTCTTACAGGCAAAGCTCTCCACCTCATTTAGACTTGGCTTTGCCTTTATAAATCTCTACAGAAGCATGAAAACAAGAAACCCACTACACATAAATAAATGAGAAGAAAAACAAAGCACCTCGGTTGCAACAAGAAAAGTTACTAGGAGACTGTGTTTACCTCTGTTGCCAAGCGCTCAGGAACATTTTTTAGCTTCAAAGACAATGGACCTTTTTAAAAGATGCTTGGTAAGCTTGCTGCTAATACAATTGATGAACTCCCGTTAATTTTCACACTAATCATGGTTCTAGGACTTCAGTAATTATCTAAGCAATGCTT